AGCAAAACTACCAGGTAAATCTTGGACCTAAATGAATGGATTACAATTCATTAAGTAATTGAATGAGCACCATGAGGCATCTAGGTGAAGCAGTGACTAGAGCAGTGGGCCTGGAGTCAGGAAGACATGAGTTCATGTCCAGTCTCAGACACTAATAACTCTATGACCCTGCATAAATCACTTAACCTCTGTTTGCCTCATTTTACTCAACTGTAAAATGGGGATCATAATACCACCTACCCCCTAGCTAGGGTTATTGTGAGGATCAACTGAGACAATATTTGTAAAGTACTTACCACAATACTTGACACACAGTAGGTGCTTAAGAAATTCTTGTTTCTTTCCTACCCTGAAGAGAAAATCAAAATGTATTTTCTCACAAAATACTGATTTTTTTAAAAATGCATTTGAAATGATTTCTTAAAAATGCTTTCTCCCTAATAAATTATCATGTGTTATAACATGTCATGGAGACAGGCACGTATGAAGAAGTCTATTAGTGAATGCTCTATAACTATGTTGTGTATTATCTTGGCAATTTTTTACAATAAACATCTTTACAAGTAAAACTGTATCAATTCCCAGTGTTCCAAGCTAACTTATGCATCATAGGATCACAGAATTTGAGAGTTAGAAGGGGCCTCAACAGACATACTACCCAACTCATAGTTCCACTATAACCCAACAAGTAGTTGGCTAGACTCTGCTTGAAGAACTCCAAGGTTTTTCTGAGAGCATCCTGCTCATCATTTCTTACAGCACAATAGTATTCCATCAGAATCACAGACTGCAGATTGTTCAGCCCTTCCCCAACTGATGGGCATCTCCTCAATTTCCAATTCTTTGCCAACAGAAAAAAGTTGCTATAGATATCTTTTCTACACGTTTTTTCTTTTTGGTTTTTTTTTATCTCTTTTGGCATACAGACCTAGTAGTGGTATTGCTAGGTCAAAGGATATGCATGGTTTGATGGCCCTTTGGTCTTACTTCCAAATTGTTCTGCAGAATCATTGAATCAGTTCATAACTCCACCAACAGGGCATTAATGTCTCATCTTTCCTACATCCCCTCCACCATTTGTCATTTTCCTTTTCTGTCCTATTGGCCAATCTAATAGGTATGAAGCAGTACCTCAAAATTGTTTTAATTTGCATTTCCCCAACCAATAATGAGTTACAGCATTTTTAATATGGCTACAGATAACTTTGATTACTTTATCTAAAATAGCTCATATCTTTTAATCATTTATCAATTGGCAAATGGCTCTTATTTTCATAAATTTGACTCAGTTCTCTCTATGTTTGAGAAATGAGGCATTTATCAGAGAAACTTGCTTCAAAAGTTTTTTCACAATTACTATTGCTATTTCCCTCCATCCTACTCCCCCATTTGTTCTATTCTCTCTTTCCTTTGACCCTGTCCCTCTTCAGAAATGTTTTGCTTCTGACTGCCGCCTCCTCCAATCTGCCCTCCGTTCTATCACCACCACCTGACTTTTCTTATCCCCTTCCCTTCCTACTTTTCTGTAGAGTAAGACAGATATCTATATCCAATTGAGTGTGTATATTATTCCTTCTCTGAGCCAATTCTGATGAGAGTAAGATTCACTCACTCTCCCTCATTTCCCCCCTCTTCCCCTCCTCTGTAAAAGCTTTTTCTTGCCTCTTTTATGTAAGATAACTTACCCCGTTCTACCTTTCCCTTTCCCTTTCTCCCAGAACATTCCTTCTTGTCCCTTAATTTTTTTTTGTTATTATCCCTTCATATCCAACTCACACTTGTGCCCTCTGTCTATATATACAATTTCTAAGTGTCCTAATAATGAGAAAGTTCTTATGAGTTACAAATACCATCTTTCCATGTAGGAATACAGTTTAATCTTATTAAGTTTCTTATGATTTCTCTTTTCTGTTTACCTTTTTACGCTACTCTTGAGTCTTACATTTGAAAGTCAGATTTTCTATTCAGCTCTGGTCTTCTGCTTGAAAGTCCTCTATTTCGCTGTTTTTTCCCCCTGAAGGATTATACTCAGTTTTGCTGGTTAGGTGATTCCTGGTTGTAATCTTAGCTCTTTTGATCTCCAGAATATCATATTCCAAGCCCTCTGATCCTTTAATGTGGAAAATGCTAGATCTTGTGTTATCTTGACTGTGGCTCCACAAAACTTGATTTATTTCTGGCTGCTTGCAATATTCTTTCCTTGACCTGAGAGCTCTGGAATTTGGCTATAATATTCCTGGGAGTTTTTGTTTTAGGACCTCTTTCAGGAGGTTATCAGTGGATTCTTTCAATTTCTATTTTACATTTTGGTTCTAGAATACCAGAGCAGTTTTCCTTGATAATTTCTTGAAAGATGATGTGCTCTTTTTTTGATCATGACTTTCAGGTAGTCCAACAATTTTTAAATGATCTCTCCTGGATCTATTTTCCAAGTCACTTGTTTTTCCAATGAGATATTTCACATTGTCTTCTATTTTTTCATTCATTTGGCTTTGTTTTATTATTTCTTGATTTCTCACAAAGTCATTGGCTTCCATTTGCTCAATTCTAATTTTTAAGGAATTATTTTCTTTAGTGAGCTTTTGGACCTCCTTTTCCATGTGGCCAACTGTATTTTCAAGGAGTTTTTTTTCTTCAGTGAATTTTTGTGCCTCTTTTTCCATTTGGCCAATTCTATTTTTTTAAAAGCATTCTTCTCCTCATCAGCTTTTTGTACCTCTTTTACCATTTTGCCTAGTCTGATTTTTAAATGTTATTTTTCCTTAATATTTTTTATGTGTCTCCTCACAATGCTGCTGATTCATTTTTCATGATTTTCTTGCATCACTCTCATTTCCCTTTCCCTCTTCCTCTACCTCTCTTACTTGTTTTTCAAAGTCCTTTTTGAGCTCTTCCATTGCCTGAAACCAATTCATATCTTTCTTGGAGGCTCTGGATGTAGGAGCTTTGACTTCATTATCTTCTTCTAAGTGTGTGTTTTGATCTTCATTGTCACCATAGTAATTTTCTATGGTCAGAATTTTTTCTGTTGTTTGCTTATTTTCCCAGCCTGTTATTTGATTTTTAACTCTTTGTTAAAGTAGGGCTCTGTTTCCAAGGTGGAGCACGCACTGTCCCAAGCTCCTAGGGACCTGTACGTTTTTAGTTCTTCCAAGGTGGTATGATCTTAGGAAAGGTGTTTACAATTCTCCTGGCCTGAACTCTGATTTGTGAGTCACCACAAGCACTTCTTTCTGCCCTGGATCTGTGAGGAGGGTTCACCCTTCATTATGGCTTCAAGCTCTGCTATGCTAGTGTTCCTCCTCACCCAGGGACTGCCACCGAGGACTGCGATCCAGATCCGAGTATGGGTAAAGCAACAGAGTCCTGCCTCAGTGCTAGCAAAGAGACCCTTGTAATCTCCTTCTGACCAGTTGTTCGCCCTTACCAAATATTATCTCACATGATCATCATAACAGCCTTGTGAGGCAAGTACTATTATGCTCCCATTTTATAGTTCAGGAAGCTGAGGCTGAGAGAGGTTAAGTGACTTTTCCAGGGTCACACAGCTAGTAAGTATCTGAGGCCAGATTTGAACTGAAGTCTTTCTGACCCCAGAACTAGCTTTCTATCCACTACTCAGTTGCCTTCTAGGATATACAGCTTATTCTTTCTTCTCCAAAATTTAAAAATTTTAATCATGTTGGATCTATTTATATAAGTTCTGTTACCACTACACCTTGGTAGGAAGTATAGTTGGTACAGTGGATACAGTACCAGACTTAGAGTCAGAATGACCAGAGTTGAAATCTAGCCTCAGACATTTAGCAGCTATGTAAGCCTGGGCAAGTCTCTTAAGCTCTTTTTGCCTCAGTTTCCTCAACAGTAAAATGGGCATAACAGCAGCACCCAGATCTTAGCATTGTTGTGAGGATTAAATGAGATAATATTTGTAAGGTGTTTTGCAAACCTTAAAGTACTATATAAATGTTAGTTGTTGTTGTTGTTATTCCATTGTAACTTTACATTTAATGTCAAGAATTTATTTTTATAGGTCAATGATTTTTGAGAATGCCTATTGAGCAAAGCTAATGTTACATTTTAGCATATTTTTAGCACATTTAAAGCGTATGCTTTAGCGTATTTAGCATATTTCCCCCAAATAAGGAAGGCTTACTGGATAGAAAGCAAGCCTTGGTGCAAGGAAGAGCTGAATTTTGTGACCTTGGGCAAATCAATTACTTTCTTAATGCTTTAGGAAATGCTATAAGACTATAAATTATAGAGATGCCAACCAACATTGGTAGAGGAGTTTTTTCTCCCATAAATTTTCTACATCAATGAATCACAGGTATTATCCCTCACCCTTTCCTTCTCCCTTCAATAGCTACAGATTAAGCTTTTATTTTTGTTGGGAGTTTTTCCCAATAATCTGTAATCTGTATAGTTGCTCATGACTAAATATAACTAAATCAATTATTCATGTAAATGTCAGGAGAGACTGGGCAAAGGCTTCACCAAAGACCATGAATGCATTTGCTGCACTTTCTTTACATACTATTTTGTTTTAGTTTTGGAAGAAGTTTCTAATTTATTGAACCAAAAGTTTCTAGTACAAGAATAACCTAACCTAATCTTACTAGGAACTTTAGCACTCTTCTTAGAGACTAAACATAGATAATTTCATTGAGTTAGATGAAGGTCATATTGAAACAAGTAGAGTTCTCTAGCAAACAAGCTGCGAGATGGAGCCAACTGAAGCTGATTGAACTAACTAGGGAAAAACAGGGCAGCATTTATTCACTTACTTAGCAAAGGTTACTTACCATGGCTCCTTCTGGGCATTGCCACTAGATTAGGAAATGTGTTTGAAATTAATGTGATTGATGCATTACAACTGTAAAATATTTCCAAAGTGTGGGCCTGTGGGAAAGTGTCATACATATCAAACATTCAGCCAATTGCTTTGAAATGAATGTATGGTACCAACATAAGTGTTCTAGAAAGTGAGGATAACCATCTGAAAGTTATAAATATTCAAACCTTTACTAAAAGCAGATTGTAGATGAGATTTAAATGACATACACTACATCAGAGGAAGGCTAGATTCCAAAGTTCTACAAAAAGAAATTGTATTTACAGATGACGTATCCTAATCAAATGCATCTAGCATCGTCTGGAAGACTTAATAGCATACTGTAACTTAATATTGCAGTCAATATGTATAGCAGAACCTATAATTAATTTTCTAATAACCAAGTAAAAAGTCAAGAAGGAAATAAAGGAGTAAGAAAGTTAAAAGAAAAAACCCAGAACTCTCAACAAAAAACATTTATCAACATAACTGAAATGACCAGAGAGACCTTTTAAGCCACTGAGACTTCTTTGATTGTGGCCGTGCCCCTGGCTGTCACTAAAATGCTCTCATGATCTGCTTGCTATCTCTAACTCTTGTTATTCTTCCATACCCTTTTCACACTGAACTGCAGAAATAGGCCTTAATGGAAAAGCAAATGAATAGCAGAGAAGACCCTGGCAGTCTTTCAATTACAAAAGCAGTTGGATTGGAAGCAACCATCAATCTATCCCACTGAATCTTCTAGGTGGTCACTCTTTCCTTCTCTCTTAGTGATGCCTTTAGTATTTATAACAGCTGTGGAATGAAGTACTTTGAATTGAACAAAGCCAATAGTCTGTCTCTGTTTTTCCCTTTCTAATACCAAGCTACTCGGTGGCTTTCCATATGCAAATGATACACATGTATCTCAGATGGATTTGATTTTCTTCCAGACTGGGGCCAAATGAAACTAATTTCTTGGATATTGGAAATGCCCACTCTGAGAAATCACAAAGTTACTTTCCCTGAGGGGACTTTCCCCTCAGGGTATCAAAGGTGATTAAAAACATGAAAATATTAAAAAGTCCATTTTCCTGACCAAGAAACTGAAGCACGACAATTAAAGGAGCCATGTGCCCAGAAGGAGTTCAAGGGCACATAAGGAGAGTAGGAAAAGTTAATTTATTACCTTATTTAACAAAACAACCCTGGTCTCATACTCAGATAGAGTTATTTTGGATGTTTATGGCTTTTGAATATTAAAAGCATACTCCCTTAAATAAATCTTTCACACTGAAAATCATCATAGCAATATACTTTTAAAATGGGAATTTTAAAGTATTAAACAGAATTACACCCCAAGCTAAAGCCTTTAGTTTCTGTGTAATTTTAAACATCTTTACATGTAATATTTTATTGATTTAAGTCAGTATTAGTTTCTTATTTATTTATCCATTCAACACTAGGTATATTAATTTTGGCATTTATCTTTACCATCTCTTAATATTCATTAAGGTTTTCATAAACATGCACAATTTTAATAAAGATAATGAAGTTTACAAAAATTAATACATCTTCTATTCTAAGCTGTATATGTACACATTAGCACTGCCCTTGTTTCCTGTTACATTTTACTGATGAATTTTTATGGCCAGTACACCAGGAACAACTGCTGTCTATTTTTAAACAATAAAGAATTTGTTCATTGGATTCAATAAATGTGTATGCAGATATGTATGTGGGGGAGGGGGGGAGGGAGATGGATTAAGTTACTCTATCAACATTTGTTTGCCATTCCTAAGCATTCTCCAAAGACCTTTTCTTTTTCTAACAGAAAAAGAAGTTAATGACAAGTGGCAGCCTTAAAAAAAAAAAACAACAAAAAGAAAAAATACTTATTTGACTGATGTGATGTTTTGTTGTTTTCAGTTTCCCAGAATTAACAAGAGACCTAACGCTATGTGTGCCATTAAAAAAGAGACCTATGAAAGACAGTTCCTAAAAAACTGAAAATTCATAATTGTATCTGGATAAAATTGAGAGGTTTTGCTTTCTGGAAGGAGCTGGGTGCCTTCTTGTCAGAAGGAAATTAAAATGATTCATTTAAAACACCTATCGAGTTACACCAAACAGCTCTACAATGGCATAATTGAAACACCATGTAAAGATTACGTTCTAGTTAAACATTTCAACAAGATTATGATATCCCCCACTGGGTGACAGAAAGATGATTAGGAGTATATGTGAATATGCCTCCCCACAAGGAGGAATAGTAATCCAGACAACAGAGAGAAAAATATCCCAGCTGGGGCCAGCAGAAATGACCAGCCGTACATGACGTAGGGTGTAAATTCTGAGCAGTCTTTCCTCTTCATATTTGTGTAGCTTTCCATATCTGCCACAGCCTGAACCCAGATGACATATAACACCACCACCAGAGAGAACAGGATAC